TGCATGGTGATCTGCTCCATCTGCTGGGACACCCTGGCCTCCGGCTGTTTCTCCCAGCTCCCATACATCATGCCCTCAACAAACTTCACATCCCTGCTGTCAAATAACACACCCTTGGAGGGTTCCCACAGCAGCCATCCCTTGCTCTCAGCAGCCAGCCCCAAATGCACACACCAGATTGCACTCGCCCCCAACTTACTGCGGTAGGTCTTGGGGACGTGGGCGACTGCCATGCAACCGAACACCCTCAGCATGTCCACCGGCGGCTTCCTCCCAAGCCACCTCTCCAACGGCACCCACGAGTCATCCCCAACCTTTGTGAGTACCCTGTTCCTAGCGACGGTAGCGTGCCGAACAGCATGGGGCCACATGGAGTTGCCCAGCCCAGATTCTATGAGCAGCGCCCTAGCTGTCTCCAGAATTGTCCGGTTCGCCCGTTCTGCTACACCGTTAGACTGTGGGGTGTAAGCCGTGGTCAGCTCCCTCTGGATGCCCTGCTTCTTGAGCCAGGCCGTCATCTCAGCTCCAAGGAACTCACCACCCCGATCTGTCCTAATCCGCTTCACCACACACTCCGCTTGCTTCTCCACGAATGGCAGCCAATCTTCCCGTATCGTAGAGGCGGCATGGTCCTTCTGCTTCAGCGGATATGCCCACATAAGCCTGCTCCAATCATCCACAATGGTCAGGAAGTACCGCTCCCCCTTGTGTCCCTGAACCGGCAGCGGCCCCACCAAGTCCATGTGGACCAGCTCCAACGGCTTCTTGCTCCTGCCAGCCACACTATGGAAGGGGAAACGGGTAAACTTTGAGAGCAAACAGATTTCACAGTTATCATCGGGTGGTTGTCCGTTCAGCTTCAAGCCCTTAACGGCTCCATCCTTCTCCAGCTGCTTCAGCAAAGGCATTGCCACATGCCCCAAGCGTCGGTGTGCCGTTGCCCAATCCGTCTCCCCAGATCTGGCCGACACTTTCACACCAACCCCTCCAACGGCGTTGCACTCCCCCTGGGATGCAGACCCCTCTCTAGCCTGCCCCTCACCATGCCACGCCAGCGCCGGCAGCTGCCACATGGATCTGTACACGTCCTTGCTCTCGTGCAGATCCCAAAGCACCCGATTGCCCAGCTTCCCCTTATAAGTGCGAGCCCCATCCGTGTTGGTGTTCACCCCAGCCTTGCCAAGCTTACGGAGGGAGATGAGGTTGGCCTTCAGGTCGGGGACGAGGAGAACGTCGTGCAGCACCACCGGCTTGCCATCCGCTCCCTTAAATGCAGCTCGTCCCGCACCAGCCACCTTCAACATGTGTCCAGAGGCAGAGCACACCTCATTAATCGGTGCAGCGCGTACGTCGTCCAGCAGGTCCTTGCGCGGCGTCATTGTCCAAGCAGCGCCTGTGTCCAACACCCAATAGTCCAGGGGGTGCAGCTCTGCTCCAGCCTTAGCAGAGGCGTCTCCTTGCTCCCCCTTGTCTCCCATATGGAAGAATTGGCCCGCGGTGCGCTCCTTCTTCTTCTCCGCACCGCCGTTGCCCTTTGGGTTGTTGTCGGACGAATCAGCGATCATGTTGGCACCGTTTTTCTGGTTCCTCCGCGCGCCGCCATCCTGGTGACGATTCTGGGGGGTCCATCCATCGGGTTTCTTATAGCACAAAAACCAGGGGTGCCCTTCCTTCTCACAATACCAGCAACTCCCTTTCATTTTGCCACCAGCACCCGACTTGCCCCCACGTCCAGATTTTGCACCGCGACCCCAACCGGTACCTCCTTGTTGGTCGTTGGAGTCGTCGTCTTTCTTTGCACCGCGTCCAGCACCACCGAAGCCACGTCCTTTGCCACGTCGGCTCCCTTGCATCCCGTAGCCGCTGCTGCCGTCGTCTCCACCCCTCAGTTGGCGGCGACGGAAGTCCTCCTCCAGAATCTTCGTCCGCACCCACTCGAGCGTCCACAAGCTCTGGTTCTGCGGCAGGCTCAATCCGCTCGTAAATTGAAGCCACGATTCCGGCAGCAGCGAGAGCATCTTCAAGCACTTTGTTTGCTCCGGGTAGGTGATTCCTGCGGTTGCCAACTTCGCGTAGAGGTCGCGCAATTTGTCCAGGACAGGTTGCACCGGCTCTCCCTCGCTCAGGCGCAACGCGGACAGCTCCCTCTCCAGCATCAATGTTGCAACAACGGAGGTCGGGGCGTGCAGCTCCTTCAACACCGTCCACGCCTTCGGACCGCACTCAACCTCCGGCAGCAGGTGCATGACGTGGTGACGCTGGTTCAGCTCCAAACTCTGCGACATCAAGTAGTAGCCAGCCGAGGCGCGCTCGTCCCAATCTTCCTGAAGGGCGGGGTCACTCGGTCTAGGCTCCTCCCCAATCATTAGTTTCAGCAATCCGATTTGACGGAAATAAAGTTGCATTTTCCAGGCCCAATCATCATAGCCCTCACCATTGAACTTCTCGACGGTGAAGTTTTTCAGCACCTCCTTGATCAGCGAGCCCTGGCTTGTTCGCGCTCCCCTTGGCGCAGAAACACCAGAATCATGGCTGCCGCTACGATCTTGGGCTGAAGATTCACCAGCTACCGCCGAGGTGTTGCCCGCCATAGCTACCTATATCGAGGATCACTATAACGTGGCTCTGATACCAGCTTGTTGGTGTAAGGGCCTAATAAACTCAAGCTATTAAGACTTTATCACACTTAAAACCTCTCCTCGGGGTCACCTCCAAGGGTCCTTGGGTGCCTGGTACAAGACCAGCCCCTATCCTCGGGTCCGAGTTTGTAGAGAGAGGGATCAAGAGGGACTTAGTCAAAACAGCAAGAGTACCTTGAACGTCGCGCAGCGTATCGTGCAGACCGTCGATCGGATTAAGCTGAGAATTTCCTATATCGAAGCTCACTCTAAGAGCTTTAAAATAAGCCAAGTTGCCTCGCGAAAAGTTCTGCCATTACGAAGTTATGGCTCGGACAGCGTTAGCCTAGCGTTGGAGTGCTAGCGTACTAGCGTTGACTCGGGTAGCATTCCGCCGTCGCACCGCGTAGACAAGAAATTCCAGCAAGAAAGGAATTCGCTTGAATCAATTTCACTATGTTCAGGTACAAACAGAGAAGGAATAAATAGCTCTAGCTAGCAAGGACCTTGGGAATCAACCTGGGAACAACCAGGGATGATCCCAAATAATTCCAAGCAACAGAACCAACCTGGCTGGACAAAATAGCAGGTGATAGGTTGGTGAACAACCTCTGGTTCTGTTTTTCCAACCTGGGAAAACAACAACCAGGTTCAGGTCCTAAAAACAGAACCTGTTTTGTCTTTGCCCAACCAGCCAAATGCTGGTTCCGCTGGTTTCCCCTGGCCCTGTAGCATGCAGATACAGACAAACAACATCCAACCTTCACCTAAATTGTACCCCTATAGTGCCTGCCCTGCTACACTATAGTCAACCAAACAAAACAGTACAATTTCGAGTTGGATAGAACTGAATCTGCGCAATCAAGTAAGTTGAACCGCAAAGCTTCCATCTTGGGTTCCTTTGCGAGCTCGTCCTTTCTGCTTGTACTGTTCATAGCGCGTACAATGTTATGCCGAAGCGCACATTGTGCGAGTACCTGCAAATGCTTCAAGCGAAAATTGCGAAAGCAAACAAACACACAAACATACCATTCACACGCAAATGCATTCGCACACGCATACTCGTACAAACAGACGGCAGGATGTCGTGCAATGTGAATTTGCACCCAACACATCGTGCTCCAGCTGACGAAGCCTCTGGAAACTCGTCGGGTAGCGGTGGGGAGGTGGGGAAGGCGCCGTAGCAGCAGTGCCTCCAGCTCCAATCTCCTCGGAACTAGCACATCTACCTCCAGCACCCCCAGATTTAGTGTCCCCATCACGAGCCCCCCCAGAACTAGCATCACGAGTGCCAAAACCCTCAGCGCGAATACCTTACGAACTAGCACCTCCAGCGCCAGTACCCTCAGCTCCAGCACCCTCAGAACCAGCACCTCCAGCACCAGTACCCTCAGCTCCATCACCCTCAAAACTAGTACCTCCAGTGCACGTGCCCCCAACACCAACACCCAGAGTCAATTGCAACCTGTCGCGGTAGAGCTGAAGGCTGCTGTGGTGACTGTGATAACTATTGAAGTTAGGTGAGTAGCAGCCATGGCTAGTGAGTGAAGTAACGGGAGGAAAAAGGTTTTTTACCAAAGTGTCGAGAGACATTTGAAAGTTAGGGTTGGAAAACCTCAACTGAACCTAAGGCGTGTTCAAAGCAGAGACAAACTGCAAAGTGAACCTAAGATGAACCAGAAATGAAGCTAAGTATAAAAGTGGCCGAAAAATAATATAAGGCCAAAAAGAAATGCAGAGCGAACACTAGCCTACTCTAACACACCCCCAGGCTAGGTGAAGCTCTGGAACAGAACACCTAGTGAACCGGAACACACCTAGAATTGGCGAGACGAGTGAGACCAAGCGCGCGGACGTAGAAACGGTGCGCTGCACGAAGGAGGACCTTGGTGAAAATGTCAGCAAGGTTGGCGTCGGCGGCCACCTTGCGAAGGCAGAGGAAACCAGACTGCACTAGCTCGCGCACAAAGTAGTAGCGAAACTCTATGTGTTTGGTGAGGGCATGATAGATAGGATTTTCAGTGAGATGAATCATGCACGCACTGTCACAGGAAAGCGTCACAGACTGCTGAGAGTGACCAAGCTCAACAAGGAGAAAGGAGAGCCAGTGAGCCTCCTGAGCTGCCAATATGCCTGCGTACAACTCAGCCTCAAAGGTAGAAAGACAGACAGAGGATGAACGAGTGGAGCGCCAGCTGATGAGACCACTCCCAAGAGTAAATCCATAACCCTGAGAGGAGCGGCGGTCAGGGCGAGAATCAGCGTAGGAGGAATCACAGTGATCGGAAAGAACGGGGGGGGGGGGGGGGAAGTGCCACCAAGAGTGAGTGCAAGATCAGATGTAGCGCGAAGATAGCGGAGAACGCGCTTGGCAGCCGCCCAATGCACGTCATTGTGGCGACCAAGGCCAACGAAGCGAGAGAGGACACTGAGGAGATAAGCAAGATCAGGGCGAGTGCATTTCATAGCATACATGAGTGACCCAACGAGCTCTAGATAGGGTCACAATTCTGAGGAGGGAGCAGGGATGGCAGGGGCAGTGAGCTGATGGTTAAACAGAAGAGGGGTGGAGACCGGTTTGGCCTGTGACATCTCGAACCGCTGGAGGATGGAGTGGATGTAGAACGCCAGAGAGAGAGAGAGAGAGAGAGAGAGAGAGAGAGAGAGAGAGAGAGAGAGAGAGAGAGAGAGAGAGAGAGAGAGAGAGAGAGATGGTGCGGGCAGCACCATCGCGACGAATCTCCATTCCAAGATGAAAGAGCTCGCCGGAATCCTTGCATAGAAGACGCGCCTGCAGGGCCTTCTTGACAGCAGCCAAATAGGGAGAATCCTTAGCAAGCAGCACCAAGTCGTCCATAGGCAAGAATGTAAAGCATGTGAGGGGAAGTGCGAATGAAAAGACTGGGATCCGAGGTAGAGGTGGAGAAACCAAGAGAGTGAAGAGTGGAGGCGAGCTTGGCATGCCACTCGAAGGGAGCCTACTTGAGGCCATATATAGGGCGCTTCAGCTCCCAAACAGTGTCTGGAGGAAAGGGGCGAGGAAAACCGGCAGGGCGCTCAAGAAAAATGCGCTCATGAAGCTCGTCCTGAAGAAAAGCATTCGAAACATCCATAGAATGGATCTCCCAATCCCAGCGAGCACCTAGGTCAAGAAGGAGGCGAAGGGTGGGGAGACGAGCAGTGGGAGAGTAAGTGGCAAAGTAGTCAATTGCCTTCACGCTGGGCAAAGCCTTTGGCGCAATAACGGGCTTTGAAGAGAGGAAGCTCCCCGGGCAACTGCTTGACACGAAAGACCCGTTTGCCCTTGACAATGGTGGCACCAGGGGGGGGGACAGAGTCGACGTAGGAATTGGTACGAGTTAACGTCTCACACTCAGCAATGATGGCAGCCATCCACTCATTAGTGTGAAAGCTAGAAACGGCCTCGGAATAGGAGTGAGGGATGGGAATGGCGGCAGTGTCGGCAGAAATAAGAGTGGGTGAATTGCTGAAGTTGCCGATGGTGACACATAGAAGAGGGGAGACAGGGTGAACAGAGAAGAGTTCCTCAAACCGATCTTCAAGAAGATTGGGGTCCAGAGAGCAAGATAGACGAGTGAAAAGAGCGGAGTGTTGAAAATTAGACATTGCGTGGGTCATGGAGCGAGTGAGGCGCGAAGAGGGGAAGGGGAACAGAAGGAAGGGAAGCATCACGACGTGATGATGGAGAGGGCATGGGAGCTGAAGAGGAAAAGGCAGGAGGAGAGTTGCCTGAGGTGACGGCGAAAGGAGGGGCGGAGGGGGCAGGAGGGAGAGGAGGAGCAGGGGCGAGGGGAAGGGGAGGTGGGGAGGGAGTAGCAGAGGGAGCAGCTGAGGGACGCTGATTAAAGTCAGACCAATGGAGAGAAGGAGTAGGAGGGGTGGGAGGGGAAGTGAGGAATGGAGAGCGAGTCTCGTCAAAGATGACATCCTGGCTGCGAATGAGCTGCAGAGAGGAGGGAGCATAGAAAAGGTAGCGAGGACAATCAGAGATGATGCCATTGAATGCACACAGCTGCGTCTTAGGAGCAAGTTTCCCACCTTGACATGCCCGATCAGCTGGATTGACGAGGACATGAGCGACACAGCCTCACACCTGAAGAGGGCAAACAGAGGGTTGGCGGCCCGTCCAGAGCTAAAAGGGGGTAATGGTGGGGCGAAGAGGATGAGGGCGAAGGTTGGAAAGAAGGGTTGCGTTAACAAGAGCATAGCTCCAAAGAGAGCGGGGAGTGGAAGAATGGGTGAGGAGACAACGAGTGATCTCCATGAGGTTCGATTGCGATGCTTGGCAACACCATTTTGTTCAGGAGAGTGTGGGAGGGCTGAGTTTTGGCAAATGCCATGAGAGGAGCAGTAAGAGGAGAGAGAATGATTAACGAACTTGCCACCACCGTCGGAGTGGAAACGCGAGACATGACGCCCGAAGCGAAGGCGAGCCTGTTCAGCACAACGAATGATGAGGGAAGGGGCATCAGATTTGGCACGAAGGGGAAAGACAGCGGCAAAGTGAGAATGGTCATCAAAGAGAAGGAGAAAGTAACGATGACCTTGTCGGGAGGCAATTGGGGAGGGACCCCAAAGGTCCATATGCACGAGATCAACAGGCTGGGGGAGGCAGAAGGGGAAGAAGGATGAGGAGACTGAGAAAGCTTAGCTTGAATACAAGGAGTGCATAGAGGGGCGAAGGAGGAAGGAAGGGGTGGGAGAGAGGAGGGAAGATCATGAAGCAGCTTCGAATGGACCATGCTGCGAAGGAGAGGGAAGTTTTAGTAACTGGGATGATGATAGAGAAGAAGGGTAGGATAGATGAGAGAGCGACAGCTGCAAGAGAAAATGGGTGGAGCAGAAGTAGGGGAAGCGTGATGTGCAGACGAGGGGAGAGAAACACGGAGGGTATAGAGACGAGAGGTAGGGGAAAGGGTGAAACGAGCAAGATGCACGTCTTGGTAATAAAGATCACAGTAGAGTTCATTCACGGGGAAACTCGCTCGCACACCAAGGCATTGGAGGGCGGAGAGGGAGAGAAGGTTATGACGACAAGAGGGAATACAGAGGCCAGTGACTGCGTAAAAGGGGGAGGCAGGACAGGGAAGAGAGGAGGTGCCAGTGCATGTCAGGGTTATGGTTTCCCCAGCTCCATGAATAAAGAGAGGGCGGGGAAAGGAACGAAGAATACCGGCATCACGAATAACAGATTCAGTAGCACCACTGTCGAGGACAAAGTCCAAAGTGTGAGGGAGAGAGAGAGCAGCAACCGTAGAGCAGGGATGTGGTGAGACAACGCTAGGAGCAGAAGGAAGAACTGGCAAGGCAAAGTGAGGGTCCTTGAGAGGAGAAGCACCAAGAATGCTAGCATAAGAAGGCATGGTCACACTAAGAGCAAAGGGAAAAGCATCAGCAGCAGGAGTCGCAATGGAAAGCGATGGCAGGGCAGGGAACTGGCAACGGTGGTGAGACTGTAGAAAAGAGACAGGAGGAGAGGTCCAAGTGGGAGAGAGGGGAGCGGATGACACGTAGGGTAGAGGAAGGAGGGGTAAAGGATAAGGGACAGCAGCAGGAGAAAGAGGGCGGTAGCAGCAAGGAAGAGAGGGAGTCGTAAGAATGGGCGCCATAGGAGGGGAAGGAGACGGAAGCAGAGCAGTTGAGGGGAGAAATGAGAGGGGGAGGAATACGGCAAAGTAGTCTGCTAATGAGGAGCTGAGGGGAGAAATAAGAGGAGGAATGATCAGCGGAGTAGTCTACTGCTGAGCCGCTGAGGGAAGGAATAAGAGGCGGAGGAATATGGACGGAATAGTCTGCTGCTGCGCCGCTGAGGGGAGAAATAAGAGGCAGAGGAATATGTGCAGAGTAGTCTGTTGCTGCACCGCTGAGGGGAGAAATAAGAGGTGGAGGAATATGGGCGGAGTAGTCTGCTGCTGCGCCGCTGAGGGGAGAAATAAGAGGCAGAGGAATATGGGCGGAGTAGTCTGGTGCTGCGCCGCTGAGGGGAGAAATAAGAGGCGGAGGAATATGGGCGGAGTAGTCTGCTGCAGCGCCGCTGAGGGGAGAAATAAGAGGCGGAGGAATATGGGCGGAGTAGTCTGCTGCAGCGCTGCTGAGGGGAGAAATAAGAGGCGGAGGAATATGGGCGGAGTAGTCTGCTGCTGCGCCGCTGAGGGGAGAAATAAGAGGCGGAGGAATATGGGCGGAGTAGTCTGCTGCTGCGCCGCTGAGGGGAGAAATAAGAGGCGGAGGAATATGGGCGGAGTAGTCTGCTGCTGCGCCGTTGAGGGGAGAAATAAGAGGCGGAAGAATATGGGCGGAGTAGTCTGCTGCTGCGTCGTTGAGGGGAGAAATAAGAGGCGGAGGGAAAGTGTGAGAGGGAGCACGACGACGAGACAAGTTCAGCAACCAGCTGCGGCAGATGGAGAGAGGAGGGAGGCGGAGGAGAGAGAAAGATGGGGAGGGGAGAGTAGGGAGAGAGGAGAGGAGGAGGAGGGTGAAGGGGCGGATTGTATGGAGAAGGGTCTTGATAGAGGGGAGACGAGCGGAGAGAGGCACAGCCACCAGGCAAAATCAGCAGCTAGTTGCTGCAGCTGAGGTGAGATAGGAGGCAGAGGAAAGGGGAAGGTTGTGGAGGGAATGAAGGGAGAAGGAGGAGGAGGAGGGGAGTGAAGAGACGAATTTCGTAGAGGGGAGTGGTGATGGCGAACCGCAGACCGCAAAATGGCACGCATGGAGGGGGGGGAGGAGGCGCGTGACAGCAGCGCACCCCGCGCGCGACGAGGGGGGCAGAGGGACGCGCGGGTGAGGGACGAGGGGCAGGCGGAATCGGGAAGGAGGGCATGCGCGACGGCACTATGGGCTGCGCGCGACTAAAGGGAGGAGGAAGAGAGGGCGCGTGATGAGCAGCAGGTCACGCGCTACTGCTGAGGGAGGTCGCGCTGTTGGGTGCAAATTCACATTGCACGACATCCTGCCGTCTGTTTGTACGAGTATGCGTGTGCGAATGCATTTGCGTGTGAATGGTATGTTTGTGTGTTTGTTTGCTTTCGCAATTTTCGCTTGAAGCATTTGCAGGTACTCGCACAATGTGCGCTTCGGCATAACATTGTACGCGCTATGAACAGTACAAGCAGAAAGGACGAGCTCGCAAAGGAACCCAAGATGGAAGCTTTGCGGTTCAACTTACTTGATTGCGCAGATTCAGTTCTATCCAACTCGAAATTGTACTGTTTTGTTTGGTTGACTATAGTGTAGCAGGGCAGGCACTATAGGGGTACAATTTAGGTGAAGGTTGGATGTTGTTTGTCTGTATCTGCATGCTACAGGGCCAGGGGAAACCAGCGGAACCAGCATTTGGCTGGTTGGGCAAAGACAAAACAGGTTCTGTTTTTAGGACCTGAACCTGGTTGTTGTTTTCCCAGGTTGGAAAAACAGAACCAGAGGTTGTTCACCAACCTATCACCTGCTATTTTGTCCAGCCAGGTTGGTTCTGTTGCTTGGAATTATTTGGGATCATCCCTGGTTGTTCCCAGGTTGATTCCCAAGGTCCTTGCTAGCTAGAGCTATTTATTCCTTCTCTGTTTGTACCTGAACATAGTGAAATTGATTCAAGCGAATTCCTTTCTTGCTGGAATTTCTTGTCTACGCGGTGCGACGGCGGAATGCTACCCGAGTCAACGCTAGTACGCTAGCACTCCAACGCTAGGCTAACGCTGTCCGAGCCATAACTTCGTAATGGCAGAACTTTTCGCGAGGCAACTTGGCTTATTTTAAAGCTCTTAGAGTGAGCTTCGATATAGGAAATTCTCAGCTTAATCCGATCGACGGTCTGCACGATACGCTGCGCGACGTTCAAGGTACTCTTGCTGTTTTGACTAAGTCCCTCTTGATCCCTCTCTCTACAAACTCGGACCCGAGGATAGGGGCTGGTCTTGTACCAGGCACCCAAGGACCCTTGGAGGTGACCCCGAGGAGAGGTTTTAAGTGTGATAAAGTCTTAATAGCTTGAGTTTATTAGGCCCTTACACCAACAAGCTGGTATCAGAGCCACGTTATAGTGATCCTCGATATAGGTAGCTATGGCGGGCAACACCTCGGCGGTAGCTGGTGAATCTTCAGCCCAAGATCGTAGCGGCAGCCATGATTCTGGTGTTTCTGCGCCAAGGGGAGCGCGAACAAGCCAGGGCTCGCTGATCAAGGAGGTGCTGAAAAACTTCACCGTCGAGAAGTTCAATGGTGAGGGCTATGATGATTGGGCCTGGAAAATGCAACTTTATTTCCGTCAAATCGGATTGCTGAAACTAATGATTGGGGAGGAGCCTAGACCGAGTGACCCCGCCCTTCAGGAAGATTGGGACGAGCGCGCCTCGGCTGGCTACTACTTGATGTCGCAGAGTTTGGAGCTGAACCAGCGTCACCACGTCATGCACCTGCTGCCGGAGGTTGAGTGCGGTCCGAAGGCGTGGACGGTGTTGAAGGAGCTGCACGCCCCGACCTCCGTTGTTGCAACATTGATGCTGGAGAGGGAGCTGTCCGCGTTGCGCCTGAGCGAGGGAGAGCCGGTGCAACCTGTCCTGGACAAATTGCGCGACCTCTACGCGAAGTTGGCAACCGCAGGAATCACCTACCCGGAGCAAACAAAGTGCTTGAAGATGCTCTCGCTGCTGCCGGAATCGTGGCTTCAATTTACGAGCGGATTGAGCCTGCCGCAGAACCAGAGCTTGTGGACGCTCGAGTGGGTGCGGACGAAGATTCTGGAGGAGGACTTCCGTCGCCGCCAACTGAGGGGTGGAGACGACGGCAGCAGCGGCTACGGGATGCAAGGGAGCCGACGTGGCAAAGGACGTGGCTTCGGTGGTGCTGGACGCGGTGCAAAGAAAGACGACGACTCCAACGACCAACAAGGAGGTACCGGTTGGGGTCGCGGTGCAAAATCTGGACGTGGGGGCAAGTCGGGTGCTGGTGGCAAAATGAAAGGGAGTTGCTGGTATTGTGAGAAGGAAGGGCACCCCTGGTTTTTGTGCTATAAGAAACCCGATGGATGGACCCCCCAGAATCGTCACCAGGATGGCGGCGCGCGGAGGAACCAGAAAAACGGTGCCAACATGATCGCTGATTCGTCCGACAACAACCCAAAGGGCAACGGCGGTGCGGAGAAGAAGAAGGAGCGCACCGCGGGCCAATTCTTCCATATGGGAGACAAGGGGGAGCAAGGAGACGCCTCTGCTAAGGCTGGAGCAGAGCTGCACCCCCTGGACTATTGGGTGTTGGACACAGGCGCTGCTTGGACAATGACGCCGCGCAAGGACCTGCTGGACGACGTACGCGCTGCACCGATTAATGAGGTGTGCTCTGCCTCTGGACACATGTTGAAGGTGGCTGGTGCGGGACGAGCTGCATTTAAGGGAGCGGATGGCAAGCCGGTGGTGCTGCACGACGTTCTCCTCGTCCCCGACCTGAAGGCCAACCTCATCTCCCTCCGTAAGCTTGGCAAGGCTGGGGTGAACACCAACACGGATGGGGCTCGCACTTATAAGGGGAAGCTGGGCAATCGGGTGCTTTGGGATCTGCACGAGAGCAAGGACGTGTACAGATCCATGTGGCAGCTGCCGGCGCTGGCGTGGCATGGTGAGGGGCAGGCTAGAGAGGGGTCTGCATCCCAGGGGGAGTGCAACGCCGTTGGAGGGGTTGGTGTGAAAGTGTCGGCCAGATCTGGGGAGACGGATTGGGCAACGGCACACCGACGCTTGGGGCATGTGGCAATGCCTTTGCTGAAGCAGCTGGAGAAGGATGGAGCCGTTAAGGGCTTGAAGCTGAACGGACAACCACCCGATGATAACTGTGAAATCTGTTTGCTCTCAAAGTTTACCCGTTTCCCCTTCCATAGTGTGGCTGGCAGGAGCAAGAAGCCGTTGGAGCTGGTCCACATGGACTTGGTGGGGCCGCTGCCGGTTCAGGGACACAAGGGGGAGCGGTACTTCCTGACCATTGTGGATGATTGGAGCAGGCTTATGTGGGCATATCCGCTGAAGCAGAAGGACCATGCCGCCTCTACGATACGGGAAGATTGGCTGCCATTCGTGGAGAAGCAAGCGGAGTGTGTGGTGAAGCGGATTAGGACAGATCGGGGTGGTGAGTTCCTTGGAGCTGAGATGACGGCCTGGCTCAAGAAGCAGGGCATCCAGAGGGAGCTGACCACGGCTTACACCCCACAGTCTAACGGTGTAGCAGAACGGGCGAACCGGACAATTCTGGAGACAGCTAGGGCGCTGCTCATAGAATCTGGGCTGGGCAACTCCATGTGGCCCCATGCTGTTCGGCACGCTACCGTCGCTAGGAACAGGGTACTCACAAAGGTTGGGGATGACTCGTGGGTGCCGTTGGAGAGGTGGCTTGGGAGGAAGCCGCCGGTGGACATGCTGAGGGTGTTCGGTTGCATGGCAGTCGCCCACGTCCCCAAGACCTACCGCAGTAAGTTGGGGGCGAGTGCAATCTGGTGTGTGCATTTGGGGCTGGCTGCTGAGAGCAAGGGATGGCTGCTGTGGGAACCCTCCAAGGGTGTGTTATTTGACAGCAGGGATGTGAAGTTTGTTGAGGGCATGATGTATGGGAGCTGGGAGAAACAGCCGGAGGCCAGGGTGTCCCAGCAGATGGAGCAGATCACCATGCAGCTGGACCTGACTCCTAGTGTGTGGGAGGAGGGAGAGGAGGCAGCTGCAGAGGGTGGTGATAAAGAGAAGGTGCAGGAGGCACCTGCTGGTGGAGGTGATGGTGTGGAGATTAGCGGTAGCACTAGTGGAGCTGCTGGATCCGAGGGAGGAGAGCAGCAGCAGGGGAAAACTAAGAAGCCGAAGGGTGTTATTATGAAGGGATGGGAGACACCCGTCTCCAGGCCAGGACGTACCCGTATGGCTACTAAAAAGCTGACTGCAGGAGCTGATGTAGCGGAGCAGCAGCTTGGGACCGAGGAGGCATTGCTGATTCTACCGCATGGCTATGACCCGGATGAGGAGGATCAACCTGCGTACTGTTTTCTTGCCCCTGCACCAGAGGAACCAGCTAGCATGGAGGAGGCATTAGCTGGACCAGATAGGGACAAATGGCTAGCTTCCAGGGATGCTGAATACCAGAGCCTGCTGGAGAATGGGACTTGGGAACTAGTGGTGCTGCCTGAGGGAAAGAAAGCGGTACAATGCAAGTGGGTGCTAAGGATCAAGACTGACGACAAGGGGCAGGTCACCATCTACAAGAGTAGGTTGGTGGCTAAGGGATTTATGCAGAAGGAGAAGCGGGACTTCAATGAGATCTTTGCTCCCACTGCCAAACCCCCTACCCTTCGTGTCTTGTTGGCAGATGCAGCCGTTAGTGGGAAGTTCATTATCCAGATGGACATATCAACGGCATTTCTCAACGGGATTTTAGAGGAGGAGGTGTTCATGACGCAGCCACCTGGGTATGAGGATGGTACGGGCAGGGTGTGCAAGCTGAAAAAGTCCATCTACGGCTTGAAGCAGGCGCCACGCTGCTGGTACCAGAAGTTGGCAGCTGTTTTAGAGGAGATGGGATTCAGGACCAGCAGCTGTGATGAGAGCCTCTTTCTCAAGGGGGAGGGGGAGAAGCTGGTGCTGTTTCTGGTCTATGTGGACGACATTCTTCTCTTTAGCAGCAGCATGAAGGAGATCCAGAAGGTGCAGCAGCAGCTGATGGAGAACTTCAAGTGCAAGAACCTTGGGGAGGTAAAGTACTACCTCGGGATGCACGTGGAGAGGGATCTGGATCACAGGTGGTTGAAGCTGCACCAGGAGAAGTTCATCAAGGAGCTTGGGGAGAAGTACGGAATTG